TTAGGCAGATGTGTTAACCACTAAGCCACAAGGTTCTCCTCCTTTATCAGCTGAGCCAGGGAGATAGGTGCGTATTTAGTGTCACAACCCCTGGTATGCCCAAATATGGGAGGAAGCCTACTACTTCCTATCCCTGTCTATCAGCTCGTCACAAGAGACCATCCAGAAAGAAACTCAATATTTTTACATCTACTTTCTTATTTATTGTTTGCTCCATGTTTTTCAGGAAAAGTATAATGACTGTGGAGGGATCATAATTTTACTCAAATATTAATCTTATAATAGTTTCTGATGAATTCCAGGTGTGAAGTTAATATCTGATGTATTACAATTTATCCCTGGATCCCAAGAAGAATGTAAAAAAGTATTAGAGAATGGAGAATTGTTGATAATTACACCAGGGGGAGTTCGGGAAGCAATATTCAGTAATGAAAATTACACTATTATATGAAAAAATCGTAAAGGATTTGCTCAAGTGGCCATTGACGCAAAAGTGGTAAATATTATATTGGTATAATTGAATAATATTATAACTGTTTTTGTGTGTCATACTTGGAAATATAGGTAGTTTCTGACACATGACTAATGGAGTCTGCCCATCATGGTGAAAAACTCCTAATGGCTGTAAAATAAATCAGTCGCGTGACTCACCTGATTTTATTACCTTTGGACACCCACCAGGTCACCTGCCCAGTGGCAGAGAAATCGGGCTTTGGCAAAAGGAAAAAAGCCATTTGAAATTAGCCCTCTCTGCTGCTCTGCTAAAAAGGTGGGAATCGTGGCCAGGAGATAACAGGATGACTAACCATATTTGGTTAACCCCTAGAGCAGGAAGAGATTGAATTGGGGGCTCTGTGAGTTGGTTTGTAGGATACGGATGGCCATAATCATATGATTTGTTGGGTGTCAGTTTTAGTTCATAGAATATATCTACGAATATAACCAGAAGGGATGTGTGTGTGTGAGAGAGAGACAGAAGGGGGGAGAGAGAAAGAGTAAGAGAGAAAGAAAGAGAAAGAAGGAAGGAAGGGGAAGAGAGAGAAAAAAGAGAGAGACAAAGATAGAATGAGAGAGAAAGAGCAGAAAGAAAGAAGGAAAAAAAGACACACACACACACAAGAAAGAAAGATCTAAAGAGAGACACAAGAAAGAAAGAAAGGAAGGAAGGAAGGAAGGAAGGAAGGAAGGAAGGAAAAGAAAAAAGAGAAACAAATATAAAAAGAGAAAGAGAAAAAGAAAGAGAAAGAAAGAAAGTGGGAGAGACACACAAGAAAGAAAGAAAAATAAGAAAGAAAGTGGGAGAGACACAAGGAAGGAAAGAAGGAAAGAAAGAAAGAAAGACAGAGAAAAAAAGAGAACTTATGACCACAATTGACCCAAAATTCTGGTTTCTGAGGAAGAGCATTGTTAAGTGAGTTTTATGACATTTTACAAGTTGGCCATGCCCACCCCGTCACATGACTACCAAGCCACACCACAAAATAGGCGACACCCACAGAATAGGTAGTAAAAAGTTTTGAAACTCATCTAGCTCAGAACAACTTCGCAGTGCTTCACAGCCCTCTCTAAGTGATTTACAGACTCAGCCCCCCACAATCTGAGTCCTCATTTTACTGACCTCAGAAAGATGGAAGCCGAGTCAATCTTGAGCTGGTGATAATGAAAGTGGCATATTGCAGTCAACAGGTAGTCAGCAGAAATAGCCTGCAGTACTGCATTCCAACCACTGCTGCACCACAGTTACTTTAAGGTAGTTGTACACTAAAAATGCCTTCCTGAACTCCTGTATGAAATGAGGTATATACTATAAATTCATATAATTCAATACATAATTAAAATACTGTAACTTATATAATTCAACCGCATTCCAACCACTGCTGCACCACAGCTACTTTAAGGTAGTTGTACACTAAAAATGCCTTCCTGAACTCCTGTATGAAATAGGTATATACTATAAATTCATATAATTCAATACATAATTAAAATACTGTAATACTTATTTTTAAAACTTTTATGGATTTAAAATGATTTTAACTTTATAAAAAGGAATATTTGTAACTTTGTTTGCTCCTAAAATATCTGTGACAGTTGAAATATACATTTTTTAGATTGCATATTTGTTGATTTAGTTTATTTTAAATTTTCTTCAAACTGCAGATCTTTAGTAGGATGTAGTTTCTCTCAATGTTTTTTAGTTTAAGAAGCAGGCAACCAAAATCTTAATGTTGAAAAACATGTAATATTAAAAAAGTAATGTGTTTTTTAGTTTATATGTTACAATGTCAGAACTGTTAAAGGCAGGCAGGAGAGAGACATGCAAGTGTCAGACTGTATCTATATCCCATGGTGATAAACCTATGGCCCGCATGCCACAGGTGGCCCACAGAACCATTTCTGTGGGCAACTGTTTTTTTGGCTGTTTTTCACCCTCCAGAAGGTTCCCTGAAGCCCAACACGCAAACCAGAAGTTCAGGATCAGACAGGCCAACCTCTGGAGGGTCTCCGGGGAGGCAGGGAAGGCCGTTTTCACCCTCACCAGGCTCCTAGAAAGCCTCTGGAGTCTGGGCAGAGTGAAAAATGGGCCTTCCGATCTGACCAGAAGTCGGCCAATGGGCCATTTTTGCCTTTGGAGGGCCTCCAGGGTGAGAGGCCTTTTTTGCCCTCCCCAGGAAAGAGTGTGAAGACTGGAGAGGGTGAAAAGCAGGTCTACTGTGCCATCATGTAGCAAAAGCAGGGGGGAGTGCGGGGTTTGCACTTGCATGTAACTGGGGGTCATGTGCGCATGGGCAGGGGGAGGGTGCATAGAATTATAAGTGTGGCCAGCACATGCATGATCCCCCTGTGTTCCCCCCACTTTTGGCACACGGTGGCAAAAAGGTTAGCTATTACTGTTATAGTCTTTTTCTGCATTACAAAATCTGAGATAGCAGGTTTTACTTTGATTCTTTTTAAAAACAATTTCTATGAATTTTCAGAAACTGCAATGAAACATGTTTCTTGAACAGATTACTATCTTTCTTGATTTTGTACGCTTTCTTACTTAAACCATTTTAATTTACATTTTATTCATTTAATTCATGATTTTAAAAAGTAACAAAAATAGTTTGTATCATTTTTCAAAAATTCTTCTGAAAAGTTCTCCAACTTTTCAGATAAAAAAGAATTTTGCCCCTAAAAATGGTTTGGGCATTAGGAATGAGTGGGAGGGACAATTTTCTAGTCTGCTTCTCTGTTTGGCTTTTTTTGTCAAATAAAAGCAGCTGAAGAAATCTTTTTATAATTTTTTATGCATTTAAAAGAGTCATAACTGTTTACACATTAAAAAGGGCAAGTGGACAATGTATCTGTTCAGATTTCTCAATAAAAATTTCCCATAATATTTATATAAATACTATGGCATTATGTACTGTGGTAATTTTTACTTAATACCATGTTAATTCTAATTAATAGCTGACACTGAACAATTCAAATACATGTACTCCCACATATACATTATTCTAATAAACTCTATGTAATCTCTTGGTGGGATTCAATTTTTTTACCCAATTCTGTGTGTGAGATTTACTGGGCATATCATGGCTTAGTGGGCATGGCAGGGAAGTTTATTGTAAAATCTCCATTCCCTCCCAATCAGCTGGGACTCGGGAGTCAGAGAATAGATGGGGGTGGGACCATTTAGAGGTGGTATTTGCCGCTTCTCTGAACTACTCAAAATTTCCGCTACCGGTTCTCCAGAACTGGTCAGAACCTGCTGAATATCACCTCTGTCTATGTAGGACTTCTGTTATATTTCTTCTAATTAGTATGCAACTTAGAACTACGGAGAAATTTCCTGAGCGTTAGAACAATTAATCAGTGGAACAACTTGCCTCCAAAAGTTGTGAATACTGGAAGTTTTTAAGAAGATGTTGGATAGCCATTTGTCTGAAGTGGAGTAGGGTTTCCTGCCTAAGCAGGTGGTTGGACTAGAAGACCTCCAAGGTCCCTTCCAACTCTGTTATTCTATTCTATTATGTACTTCTTTAGGCCACAAAAAGCAGGTAGTACTGATAGAAGTAAATTAAGAAAATACTGTAAATTCTTAATGCTTATTTCCATTACTCTATTTTTTTCAGTCCATCATTCCTACATTCACACAGAATATTCGAGAAAATATTCGAATAGTTGGAGGACAAATAAGTAAGCAACTTCAGTTTGGGCTTTTTTGTATTATGTCATCTATGATTTGTTCCGTTCTGATTAGAGCTTGTGTTGGCTATATTTTTTGCCTATAGTGGTGGACATGATTTAAATAAAATGCTCTGGTTTTTATTGCCATATTCTAGTATATATAAATAAATTGGTCTGTTCTATAAAAGAAGCCATTGTTTTTTCTTTTATATTTTGTCTTTCTCTCACAGCTCAAAGCAACATATCTGGCTTTTCTCTGTTTTTATTTCCAGATTAATAGTATTGTGGAATATATAAATTTGTCTCGATCCAAAGTTGCCCAGTAATCTACATAAAGGGCAGACCTAAATTTAAGTACTTCAGATGAATTAAGTTGATCTCCTTAACCTGCACTACATTACAGTGTGGGCATGTAGAATTTTTAACATTTTTTTGAGGTTTGATATTTTTCCCTTGAGAGATTACAGTTGGGAAAAAAAAAATTGAAAACTCAATTACAAAGCCAGATTAGTATAGTAGTTAAGTTGCTTGACTAGAATTTGGGACATTATGAGTTCTAATATTTTCTTCTCTTTGCTCTTACAATTGACTATGGGGAGTCTGCAGCATCCCATTCTCTCCCTTCCCCCCTGCCTTGACAGGACTCCGCAACACTTGGCCCTTTACTTATAGCTTCTGGAAGCAGCTGCCATTTTCATCACTCCAGAAATTCTTTTTGGAAATAGTAGCTGCTTTCGGAGTGTTCTACCCTGATCAGCTGGCCATTGGGGGACTGCAAACCCTCTCCCATGCAACCCCTGCATGTTAAGGCACAGTTTCAGGATGAGCTTCTCAAAACCTTTCCCTTGCTTAACCTCTTTCTCTCTCTCAGAAAGCTACATTTCTTCAATAATTATAACAATAAAAGGTGGGAGGGAAAGACTTCTTGATCATTCTTCCTCTCCCCACCCAGGGGTGGACTGCTGGGGATTCACATGGGTTCCTCTAGCTAGGATTCTGCCCAGTTTGGAAACCCCCAAATGCCACTCCTGGCTGGCCACGGCCATCACATCCCTCCCCTCCCATCACTCCCAGGAGTCTCTATGCGGCCCGTTCATTATGACAGGTAAGTGCAGAAATAATGTGGAGCCTTGGAGAGGGGGTATAGTGGGCCTACCGGAGGTTCTGGAAGTGTGGAAATGGATCTGTTTCTGGCCTCCAGAGGACCTCCAGAGCCCCAGTTTTCACACTCCCAGAGGCTCAAGGAAAGCTTCCGGAGACTAAAGAGGGCGAAAAATGCACACATACCTGCCAAGGTGCAGGAAGCAGTCTAGGCCTTACTACAGGGCAATGAACCCATTGCTGTGATTTTTGAAGCCCCATCCTTAAATTAGGTGCAAAAGCTAATCTCCCTGCCTCTGCTCTCAAATCTGTATACCTTTTAGTTTAGGCTAGAGCCCAATATGTGCAGCAAATGGAATATTTGGATTTTTTTCCCTTTAGGACCTTTAGAGTCCTAGCTGGAACCTAAAGTCAGATTAGACGAGTCCTAGTTATGATAAAATTTTGAGCTCAATGTGTTCTAGAGATACCAAAGAGAGGAACAGCTTGCCCTAATTCTATGGAGCTTCCAGAAGTGGTTTATTGTAAAAAGTAACAGCAACGAAGGTGTGGAAGAGCATGTGAAACCCCAAGGGGTATCTCGGGGTTGGGGAAGGCCTTGATGATGTCCAAAGTAGGTGGGCTTGTACCTGCACTGGGCCTACCAGAATCTCCCCCAATCCTGATGCACACCATTCTCTACTTAACAATCTGTGCATTCATTTAAGGAATATAGAGGTGACTTGTCATTACTTGAGACAGTTCATTTAACATTTATCCCGACTTCTGCTCTAATTGGCAAGCTCTATTGCATTTGTAACTCAATAATTAGTTGACTTCCAGAAAACTCTGGCACATCTTTACCTTCATCCATTATTTAGCCTCAGTTGTCACTTTTGCTTCCTTATTGTTTAGTATCGTACCTCAGTCCTTTTAAATTAAACTAGGAATGATATCTTGCATGAAGACCACTTTCAAACTTGTTCCACACCATTCCATATCAATATAACAACTAATTGCAAGCACTCCTTCTCATTGCAGTCACTTCTGATCGCCACTCATTTCGCTAGTTTCTGGTTTTTAGCTTGGTATCTTTTAGTTTGGTGTCTATTCTTTAACATCTTCAAATGCAGAGCTAAAAATGACACTGGAAGCAGGCAAATAATTCCAGATAATTCTAAGGTGTTCAGATTTGTGTCAGGAAGCACCTTTGTACAAATTTGTTAGTGTATCACTATTGCTCAGATTTTTTTAAATGAATAGGTGAGTAAAAATATATAACTACCTGCTATCCTGTTAATCCCTCTTTTTCAATTAATCAGAATTATTAAGATGGATATATGAATATATTCGTTTGCCAATATTTCCTTTGTATGGAAACTTTCCAGGTAAACTGCAGATATATTTTGGAGATCCTATTCCATATGATCCAAACACAACAGCAGAAGAACTAGCCAAAAAAGTAAGATTTTCCTTTCAAAGTATTAATACTTACTGGGCTAAAATAAAGACTCCTGGAGGAATTGCTGAGATACTTTCAGTATATATATTATATCAATGTATGTTCAAATAAAAATTTTGTGACTCAGATTGTGAATCAAAATGCTTGATTGGGATAAACAGTACCAAAAACACAGATTCGGTTGAAAATTAAGCTGAATGAAAGGTTAGTGAATTTTTGTCAATATCTACTTTTTTTGTCAATATTTTCTAGATAAAGTTCTCAATTACAAGGTATTCTTGTGTTTTATTCACTATTTATATTGCAGCAGTATTTTCCAGTTTTTAAATTTCCACATGCAGTTGTTTTTAAATGCTTAATATGTATCTCTTTTTAGTATAAATATTTAGATACTGACTTTAAATGTTTTTTATGAATTGATTCTGAACTGTTGGAATTATTTTTGTTTTAGAAGGTAACATATAAATTAATGAGTTCATTATAAAGCAAAAACCAAAACTATAGTATATTTTACAGTTCAGTCATAGAAACCCAAAAGTTTTCTAAGACGTTTTATATAACATAAAGATCTTTCTAGATATCAGTTATTAACAGCAGGATCGTGACTCTAAGCAGTCAAATGCTATTCAAAATATTATAGAACATAGAACATATCATAATAGGATTGGAAAGGAACTTACAGTTCAAGTCCAATTTCCTTCTGAAAAGGAAAATCTTTACCATTTTAAACAAATGACTGTCTGGTTTCTTTCTGAAAACCTCCAATGATGGAACACACATAATTTCTAAATGTAGGTTATTCCACAGATTACTTGTTCTCCCTATCAGGAAATTTGTCCTTGGTTCTAAGTTGGTTCTTTCTTTAATCATTTATATGGACATTTTTGCACACACAAAAAATACAAGTGACATGGAAAATTACACATCATTAGATTAGGGAAAATTCAGTGATATTGGAAGCATTATAAAAAAGGCTCCCTAAGGTCTCCAGTCACATTAGTTTTAGAACCCCAAGAAACTTTCAAATGGACTGGAAGTGATAGATCCCATCCTATCTACAATTTGATTTTATTTTTTTGCCAGGTTAATGTTTGTCTTTGATCATGAACACTTTTTTCGGTGAACATATAGGAGAGAGTATGAAACTATATTAAATCTAAAATTAACTGATCACCTTTCATAGATTAATAACTTGGGATTTTTTAAATCAAGCAATATGGTTTAATACAGAATTAATGTTCTAAGAACAGTTTGATCCTAAAGACTCAGTGGAGGCTGGAGTTTCAGAATGCCTTGCCATTTAGCAGAGGGCAGAAATTCCTTTTTAACAAACAAAAAATCAGAGCAGCCCAGGATCAGTGTGGCTGAAATCTACTCCTACTGTTTATTATTTGATTTTGTAGTGTTTAAAGAATAGATTGTAGTATGAAAACTAATTTCCATACACAGAACTTTATATTTTGAATTTGTGTGGATTTGATAATTTCAGGGTTAAATTATTGAATGTCTGGTTAATGTTATATTGTAGTTTGAAAAGTATTCATTGTTGTTTTTTATTTTAAATGTAATTTACCATTGAACAATGCAATAAAAATGAATAATGTATATTTCTCCAATCTCACTCCTGTCACAGGTAAAGAATGCATTACGGTGTTTAATAGACAAACATCAGAAAATACCAGGAAATGTGTGGAGAGCTTTGATGGCATGAGTTACAACAGAGAAATAAGACAACGAATAGCTTCGGCAAATCATTGTGAAAAGTTTTTGAATGATATTTTAATGTAATGTATTATTTAAGAATTATTATAATAACCTTTAATTTGATGCTCAAATGTATACTTTTATTAAAAAGTAGGCTTTAAAAACTATTGTTACATATATGGTTCGGGAAAGTACAAGTAACCCTTGACTAACAACAATTGTGCCCAAAATTTCCATCGCTAAGCAAGGCACTGGTTAAGTGAGTTTTGTTCTCTTTTATGACCTTTTTGCCAGATTTCTTAAGTGAATCACTGCAGTTGTTAAGTAAATCACAGGATCGTTAAGTAAATCCACTTACCCCCCATTGATTTTGCTTGATGGAAGCTGGCTGGGAATGTTACAGTAGTGATCACATGACCCCAGGACAGTGCAACTATCATAAATTTGTGCAAGTAGCCAGGCAACCAAATTTTGATCACATGACCATTGTCATAAGTGTGAAAAACTGTCATGTGTTACTTTTTCTCTGTGCTGTTGTAACTTTGGAAGTTCACTAAATGGATGGTTGTAAACTGTGGATTACCTCTACATCTTTTAATATCAGTACAACTGTTTTTCACAGAAAACTATAGGTTAAAAAGCACAATCCTGATTTGGAATAAGATATAAACATTATTTTTAGGCTTTTGGGAAATGTATCAAATATATTGCTTAGCTCTAGTATGTAAGCTTTAAATGTTTTGGACTAAATTTGATACTTTTCTTAAAATTTGCATTTCTTTTTTGTTCCATGCATTCTCCAGTGTAGTAGAGGATGTATCTTATCAAATCAGGTTAGTGTTCATTCCTTTTTTATGAAAAGTATTTAAATTGGATTATCTGGATTGTACATAAAAGAAACCTTGAGTTGACTATAATTTTAAATAATTTTAAAACATGAAATAACATTTAACCTGTTGTCCGTGTTAGACACAACAAGAAATATAATTTAATTACAGTTCGTTCAGTTTAGGAGAAAAAATGGTTGCAATTCAGGTCATACCTGGACTCTGTAATCACTTGCTTTGGGGTAGGATCGAGACAACTGAATGGAACTGAGCATTTACTGCCCAGATGCCCTTTCTTGATGCCTACATCAGAGGTGGGATTCACTTACCTTCTCTACAGGTTCATAAATGTGAGCGCGCGCACACATATACTCGCTTCAGTTGCAAGTGCCTCATCTGTGCATGGGCACCGCCTACTGTGAATGCGCAGTGCTAGTGTATTATATTGGGATTGGTGGGCAGAGCCTCCTGTAGCTGCCGCTACAGGTTTGCCTGAACTGGTGCATTATTCCATGTTGTTTTCTTTATTTCTATATCATGATGTAAAATATCTATTGAATAAAACTGAAGTAACTAGAAAATATGTCCTATATATTAAATTAGTAATTAAATTAATTACTGTGTGCATTCTATTGTTCTTAATGAGTTTTTTGAATACCATATTCATTGAAGAAAAAGACCATATAGATAAAACAATCAAATGGAGGCAAGCAAGAGTCACTTGAATGGAGATGGATGATAAATGAAATAAACGAAGAAACAAAAAGAAACAATAATACACAGAATTATATGTTTTTAGTAGTATTCAATACTAGGGCTTGGAGAACCTTCAAAAGTGTTCTTTTTGTAGATGCTTGATTTAGTGAGGTATCATTTCTAAAATTAAAGACATTAAAAAGTCACATTTTCTGGAAACCTCAAGTGGCTGCTTTAAAAGTTTTTTCCAGTTGTCTCTCTGTCTGTTCGAGGATAAGTTTTTGTGTGTGTTGATAAAACTTTGAAAGAGTTGCCTTATAGCCTCTGGAAGACATTGCTCCTTCAGTGTTCTAATCGTTAGATACTTCAGTGGAAACTAGCTAAACCGGGGATACTTCAGCAATGATACTTCAGTGGAAACCAGGACTAACTAAACCTTGCCAGGACTTACAAAAATGATGGAAAATATATCAGTCACCACACAGAAAAAAGTACCATGCACAGGGGGCTTCTCACTTTGATTCTAGCCTAGACAGGTATACTTTGAATGGGATCTGTGAATGTGTGAGGCTCTAAAGATTTCAATTCAGAAAATAAACACTTAATGTTGTAATCTGCATTTGCTTTGTATTGTGAATTTCTAGATAAATAACAAGAACTAATAACAGAGAGGTTTTTATAAAACCCTCTACCTTGTTTTCATGTGACACATGACTAAATCAGAACAGTAGGTTTAGACTAAACCTTGCTGCAAACCTTCTAAGAACATTATTTTATTATTTTATCATGAACATGAGAACAGGCAGCATCATTTATTAGTTTAATTTTTCTCATGACTATGATGTAAATGTAAGCACAGCTTTGACACACTGACACCTCAAAGAACAATGTATCTCAATGCCAACAAAATAACAGTAAAGTGTATGTTATTGGAATGTTACAGCTTAGAAGTCAAATTACCAAATGGTAGCTCAGGGCGCAATTAAGTCTGCCGTACTTTTTTATCCATTTTTTTAAAAAAGATATTCTTTCACAGATTGTAACAATGGGAAACATGCATTTCATCATCTTTATTTTGAAGAATTCCTTTGGCAAAAAAACTGGCCCTAAAGCCAATAAAAAATGAGGGCTCCAAAGCTTGCAGCCAGAACTTTGCTTGGAAGAATCTCATGGACCCCAAGAGGAACAATGCTATGAGGATGGCCCTAGTGTGGAATGACCTAAAGATCAAAATAGCTACTTACAATATGCACAGTACTGTAAATATTGCAGTCATATACAGGTCCTTGGTTATCAAATACATAGACCATATTTATTATTGCATATTTAATTAAAATGAGGCACCACAAGAGGCTGTTCGAAGTTCCTAGAAAGAAAAGTGTTACCTAGTTGCCACTCTTAGGAGCTAGGAAAAGCTGCTCACCAAAAGTATGTTGTAGTCCGCCGGGGCCAGCAGAGTTGGCAGCAGAGTTGGACAGTTAGTTTGGAAACAGTCCTGGAGGTTGAGGAAAACTCAGACATGGGCTCTGCGTCGAAGGCAGAGAGGGAGTTAGACAGCAGTGAGGTAGAGGAACAGCTGGAGCCTGTTCCCAGTGTGCGCATGTGCAGAGCTGGCGGAAGACAAGAACAACTAAGAAAGCAGGGTCAACTTAAAAGTAAAGCCACATCTTAGAGGTGATTGGCCCCTCCCAAAGGAATGAATGGGGAGTGGGCTTTTGCAGGAAACAATTCGTTCATTCAGTCCAGAAAATTCTGTTTCTGATTATAAGAAACTCAGTGCCAGGTTTTGCTTTGCCCTGTGTTTGGAAACTAGGTATCTGGCAGCACGCTAAACTAGATAAGGTATGTGTGGATAAATATTCCTCTGAAAGACTGCTAAAGCCTTGCTGACTGTGAATGAAAGGAATTCATAGTCGTGTAAATAAAAGAGGTTTTGTCAGAACCAAGATTTTGCTTCTTGCTTTCTAAGGAGGCCTTGGTCAGAACATAGTGTTTGGTGAGGAAAATGTATTCCTCAATCAAAACTGCTGATGCTATCTTTAAGATGTATACATAAATGTTGTGAGGAAACATAGGGAATGCTTGTCTTGAGACTTTAACCCCAAAGCTGACTTCTTTACCTCTGCACAGAAATAAACATTTTTATATGTTCCCATCCACCTTTGTATGATTATTGGTTAACTCGCACCAGGTGAAATGAACCACCCAGCTTGGGCTGGGCCAACATTGTGTGGTAAAAAGACTCCACAGTGTCAGTAAAATGACCACAGTGTACTTTATTTAATGATTTGGTACTTCTTGTTGCAATAAAATAAAAAAAATCTACAAAATCCAAATATATAAAATTTTTCAAGTTTTCTTTTAAAGTTTTACAAGAAAAACCAAGTTGTATTCAAAGAAATGTTTAAGTATGAAGCACTACTTTGAATTTCATTTCAGCACAAATTGTAACTTACTTAACAGACCAAAAGAACTATGGTACTGTAGTACACCAAATACTTCACACACTGTGTTCTTTACTATAGCACATTTAACCACTGTCAGTGCAAGGCAATGGTCTCTAGCCAATCAAGACACTCTTCACAATCAGGACTCAAAAGGAATGTTTGTATACATGGAGTCTGAATATAGGTATTTACAGGAAGGATTTCTGTTCCATTATCTATTTGAGTCTTCATTTCAAATGAAATACCAAGTACATTTGTACAATGTTTACAGGTCATAGCACAATAACTGTCATGAATATTATTCAACTCAAGTCACTGTGCTTGAGAGAAATATATCTACATGGTTCCCATAAACATAAAGATGATCTGAGAATGGAACTATTGAGTAAAAGCACAATTACAATTAGCACAATCTGCTCAAAATGCAACAGTTTACAACAGGAGCTGAGAAATTATTGGCCATTTTCTAGTCTGCAAAGGGTAACTTTTCATTACCTTTTTCCTGGTATTTCTTATAAGTAGATTACTGATACAGGATAAACAAAGTGAGGGGAAACTCTTAATTTATGAATAGGAAAAATACAACTCTTAAGACAAAGTAAGCATATACAAGCAGCTTATATGAGTTGGTTCCTTGATATTTGAACTGCATGTCATAGACTCACACTCCTAAATCAGCTATATGTATACTGAGCCGAACATCAAAATCTAGTAATCCAGATGGAGGACACAGTGAGTTCTGATACCAGCATATTCCTGTTTTTTGTTTCTGTTTTAAGGGAGAAAAGCTGTATGCTTCTGCCACCAAGTGGATGAAGGTTGGTATGATTTTGAACTTTGCTCAAGTTTCCACTTCAGACCAAACAATTAGATGCAACCAGTATTTTCTTTCTTTACAAAAGATATAAAATAAATACAGAAGCCAGTCTGCCTGAAAACATCATCATAAATGCTTCACGATGAGGAAGTGTGTTCCGTATTCCTTAATGATCTAGGTGGGTCTTTTTCCTCACCCAGATTATTCTTTCTAAATACTAATTGGTATAATTTTGAAAAATATTTTGTTTTCCAAATATTGTAAATTGCAAAAAGCATGAAAATTAAAGCTTGCTGAGGTAGTCTACTGTAAAAAAAAAACCAACAGATGTTAAACATAGTCAGACAAACAGTGGTATAAGTTTTGAACTTTTGGAAATGTAGTTGATCAACAATAAAATGGCTTTACATTATTAGAATTTCACAAATAAGCAAAATTAATATTTTAAGACCCATCTGTTTTCTGCATCTCAAATGTTTTTAAGATCCCATCTGGGTCTTGTCAATTTTTCGTGTTTCTTAGATGATGCAAACCTTTATTAGTGTAGTCTTTATATTAGAGTCATCCCATACCAATATAGAATATCTTTCTCCAAGAAACAAAAATGGAAAAAGAACAATCTGATTTTTAATACAAAGATGTTGTGGTCCATACAGATGTTTTTACATATATTTTATAACAGCAAAATGCATTATGCCCTTTCAGGTTCTATCTTGGTTACAGAATTCACAGCTAATGGGAACAGTGATCATACAGACTGAAATTCTTGAGGCTGGAATTCAATGTATCTGGAAGGCATCACATCAGACATTTTAATATAAGGTAACAAAAACATAGTAATAGAATAGTGGTAACATCTCAAAATGACACCTCTATTTGTACCAGCAATTACAAGATAATGCCCATTTAGTAGAGCTTTGGCAGAAATTCCCACATACTTTCCAGAAAAAAATGTGTATGTAATAGACATAAATATTAATCTTCAGATGTGGAACAAACTGTTTCCAAGGTATTTTGAAATTTTTCTATCCATTTCACTCAATAGACCCACTAGGACAAATAAGGGGAGTACTACACAACGAGGATAAAGAGGTTTTTTCCCCCAGAAAAAAATAGATTCAGTTTTTCCTGTTGAAACAAAAAAAAAACCAAATTCACTTTCAGTTCATTTTCAATCTTATTGAATTTCCCTTAATTTCTTCCATTCTATATTCTGGGCTTGCTGGTGGTCAGCTTCAGCTCTTGTCTTCGAGGATTCTGCTATGTCTCCTCTCATATTAGCCCTTGACTGTTAGGAATGCCAACATATATAAGCCATTAAAAAGCAACAACAGTGCCATGCATCCCATCAATTCTGAGTAGCAAAGATACTCTCCTTACACATTCACACTGCAAAATCATAGCTTCTACCTGCTGAAAGCAGCTCTATCACTGTGGCCATGCAAAGAATGTGTATCCTAATAGTGAGACTATTTGTATTAGAGGATCCAGGAAGGTAATGGAAGCAGTCATACAAACTTTATCATTCATTTGTTTTGTTTTTCATTAAACCTATAAACTACTTTTGCTTTAGGAACCTCTAGCCCTTCAGTTTTATTGTCACAATAACTGAGCCCATGAAGAAAACACAACTAGATTATGATTCTTAATGTGTTTTAACTAGAAGCTTGTGGTAAGGGGAATTAATGTCTAAGCAACTTCATGGAAAGCTGCAATCTATGGTAAATGACAAAAAAAGTTACGATTTTTACATACTCTGGAAACCTGCTGAGGAAATCCTGGAAACAGAGGTCACCATCACTGTTGGGAAGAAAATGTGGTTTGTTGGTTCTCCATGTACTGTATGTAAAGAAGTTAAAGGTTTACTACTGTCTGTTATCCTCTCACATAGCAACCGAAGATGGAAAAGAGCAGCATTTCTGAAGATGGCAGAGCAGATAATGCAACTATCTTTATCAAAGTATTTCAGGCAATAATGCTATCTTCAAGACTAGGAGTGAGGTTTTTACTGTGTCAATGGAGCCAGAGGTAGATGTGTTAAAGACAAGAAATGGGGCTGAGGAAGCAAACTTGAAACTGAACTGGCTTGGTTTGGAGGAAGCATTTCTGACAAAATCAAATATTTGAGCAAAACCACATTGATGCAGTCATTTGTCTGTTGTACAATTTGTTATACGAAGTAATACAAATTCCATGGTCAAATAATTTCTGGTTTCCCATCTTTTGCAAATATAGTAAGAAGCTTCTAATTTTATTTATTTTTTAGAAATAGTTGAGATTGAAAAATAACCGAAACAAAAATAATTGGTGAAGTGAGATCACAACTATTGCTGATGCAGTTGAAGGGAAATTTAGACAACTTGCCATTTTGTGTACTTACTTTATCAAATATGAATAGTAGAATGAATGAAAAGAAGATGTTTTTCTGAAGCTCTAATTAGATTATACCATTTAATGATTACCTTTCTAAGACAAAAAGAAAGGGTTACATTTCTATTCATCACCTTATACTTGTTCATATGACGTAGCAAACTGGGGAAAGTTAACTTAGCACCAAACCATTCTAGCATTGTCAGAAGAAAAAAAGCATCCCAAGGTTGCCTTCATGCAAAATGTTCACACCCTGTCCCAATCTAGTTAAATAGGTTATACAAACAGGATCACTGTATGTCAACATGGCGGCAGCCAGGAAGGCATATTGGAGATATGCACCATCCTTTGACTTGTGGGTCTGTCTGGTGTTTACATAGCTATTGAGAACTACTCTCCAAAAGTGGGTTAGGCCAGGATGCAAAATGAGATTTCTTGGAGGAAGAGGTGGAAGCAAGTACTCATTTTGCCTCTTTAAAATCCACTAGCCCAAAGTTTAGTCCACTTTGGGAATGGAAAAAAAGCTGTAACAAATTGTATGTGAATTAAAAGTTTCACTTTTTGCATCTAAGGATAGGTAATGAGAAAGGATTCGGTCATTTTTCTTTTCTTACTTATCAATGGAAAAGAAGGAGGTGTAGGTAGCAGGATGGCATTGGCTGAGCCTTATACAGTATGTTAAATGGTTGCCTAGAATGCACCAGCATTAGTTTTATAAAAGTTTATATTGCCATTGGTTCCCTTGAAATAAAATGGGAAACATGAATATGGTAAAATAACAAAATTATTTCTGTAAAATTACACCAATGAAATAAGTTCAAGGACATCATGTAAAATAATTACACATCATCATAACACTGAAGCAGAAAAATTGAATCCTGTTTTCAAGAGAAAAGTATTTATATATATATATATGTGTGTGTGTGTGTGTGTGTGTGTGTGGTGTGTGTTGTATTTGTGCTACACACA